TTGGATAAATGAGATTGATATCATGATAAAATAGCAGATAGACAATATCAATCCAAATATATTAACAATTCATCCACCAATGATTGTATCCACTTTAACAAATCAATCAATGCCAAGCTTTCTGGTTGGGGTTGCTAATTGTAAGGACAGGATACAACTATTGATGATATCCTCCGTTTCCTGAAGAAAAGGGGCCCAGAGTTTGTTGGAACAAGGCTGACCGTGCTCTGCATAGTTTTAAAGAGATCAGCTGTAGGGTTACAGGAGTGTATGCTTAAATTGCTAGATTGGAAATCCCAGGGTCTCAATTAATGATCCAGGGATTAATTCAAATTCCTCCAAAGCAGCTACAGAATTTAAATTTAGTTAATCAATTAAATCTGGAATTAAAAGGCTTGCCTCAGTTATGATCATCATGAAACAATTGGATTATTATAAAGTTGGTTCACTAATGTCCTCTGGGAAGGAAATCAGTCATCTGGGTTACATGTGGCCTCAGACCCATGTCAATGTGGTTGGCTCTTAACTGCATTCTGAAATGGCTGAATGAGACACATTATTAGATTCAAAAACAGCTGGATGACCAGATGGACACCAAATGGTGGCCTTGCTAGTGATGTCCACTTCCCATGAAAGAAGGTAATTAAATTTGGCATAACGTGTAGAGCTGGATGAACACAGCAGACCAGGCAGCATCAGAGGAGCAGGAAAGCTGGCGTTTTGGGTCCAGACCCTTCTTCAGGAATTTCCTGCTTTCCTGCTCCTCTGATGCTGCTTGCCCTGCTGTGTTCATCCAGCTCAACACCTTGTTATCTCAGATTCTCCAGCATCGGCAGTTCCCACTAACTCTAAATAAATTTGGCACACTTGCAGGAAAATCCTGTATTCAAATTCAGTAATTAAGCCCTCCTACAAAACCCCAATTGCTAGAAAATGTCAAATCTCTCCCACGTTATGTCTTATCAGATATACCTTTACAAAGAAGTTGAGATAAAGTTTGAGTGTTCACAAGTAACAGAATCAGCAGAAAAGTCATTCACTATGAAAAACGACATGGGAGAGATGCTTTTCTGCATTGTTTTCCTGCAACAGATTGAATCATCTTTTAGCCTAGAACTACTTCATTGCTACTAGTATTTTTAGCATACACATGGGATGGTTGTCAGTTGACATTTAAGAACCCCTCCCAGTCTTTTCTTTTAATATCAGAAGTTCTCTTTAATCCAGATATTTTGTTATTTATGCACATTCAATGCATTGCTTGTCTAATACATGAGTACCTGCATTTATTCAAAAATATATATAAATGAGAGAATGTCATGGTGTCAATCTATTTAACCAAGATATACTTATGGCATTTTAGAGTTCTCTTGATATCAGTTAACACAGAAAACTGTGAGCTTTTATTGGAATAAGCTGAAATTTGTCTAACAGCTACTAACATTTTGCAAATAATACAGTTTATTATCAATAGAGTGTTAGATAGAACCTTATATATTGCATATAATTAAGTAAATAAGGATGGAGACAGGAACAAAGAGAGTGTTGTGCTCACTTCAGTTTTGACCTTGAACAGCCATTAGCAAGAGCTGATCTTCAATGTCTTTCCCCTGGGCTGAGAACTAACATTAGCTCCGCAAAACTGAATACAGAGTATCTTAACCCTTTCATTGGTAAACTCAGATTGTACACAAGCTCCTAGTGCCTTTAAAAATGTTGTAATAATTGTGTGCCTTTTTGTCTGTTCAAATGCTTCTTAATCGTCTTCAGTTTTTTTCATGTTTGCCACAGAATAATGAACCCATAAAATGTGGTAGTGGCAGGGAGCTAAAGTCTAATAACATGTGACATTATGGTTTAGAAATAACATTCTTTCATTCTTTAATAATATCGAAAAGGAATAATGATTATTAAAATTGACAGCTTTTGAAGTGGATAGAAATCTGCAATGTTATATTGAAGGTAATTAATAACCAATTGTGGTTCCATATGGTTTTGTCTTCGCAATCTGTGGAAAGAAATGCTGTAGTGGAGTGAAATACGACTGTAAAACACTCAAATTAATAGCTGTGCTCAGGAACACTTCTTAACTCAACAAGGAAATTCCTGGAATGCAAGGTATAAATAGCAGTGCCCAAGTTCCTCAGCATATAATCCTGGTACATGTGCTGGGGTCACAGTGGCAGATGGATTCTATTGTTGACTGCACCTCAGAGTCTGCAGAATCAGTGAAGGGTACCGTGGGTGGAATTTCAGCAGGACACCACCATAGGAAAATCCGCCTTTATAATCAAATATCATATTCCTGTCAACAGAAAGGGATTTGTCCAAGATCCATTTATCAGACCTCAACATCTTCTTATTGGGTCCTTGTAAAAGGGTCTGAGCAAGACTTCTTTTTCTATCTTCTCCTAGCAGAGGTTGGGAGGTATTCGGGGGCGGGGGGGTGGTGGTTTGAGGGAAGGTTGTGGAGTGGGGTATTGAAGTCACTTCATACAATTGGATCCACTTTCACACAAACTGGAGCAACCACTTTCCAGTTGTACAGCAAGTCTAAAACGAACCTGATGTCGATTCATTCAAAAAGGAAAGCCCATCTTTGACCCTTTCATCTTTTAACTTGTTCCAGTTCCCTGACATCATTGTCCTTTTAAGTGGCAGAGTTTCTATAGAAAATGCCCAAAAATAACAAAGTTTTGATGTTTTCAGTAGGGTTGATTAGAATCTCACCAGAGGTATAAAGTGACAGAGTTTTTACAGCACAGAAGGAGGTGCTTTGGCCCAACATTTCAACATCGGTCATCAAACATCTATCTATCCAAATCCCATTTTCCAGAACGTGGCTTGGATCCTGTCAGCTATGATGTTTCAAGTGTACATCAAAATTCTTATTCAATGTCTTGATGGTTCCTGCCTGTATCGCCCTTACAGAAAGTGAGGTCCAGATAACCACCATCTGCTGGGTGAAAGAGGTTTTCGTCACATCCCCTCTAAACCTCCTGCCTCTTTACCTTAAAACTGTATCGTTTGGTTTTCAATCCCTACCCTAAAGGGAAAAGTTTCTCCTTATCTACCCT